ATTCTTGGTCATATGAGGTGACTGATTTAGTAGGTGGTGTATCAACAACAACTCAAATGTCCCTTGGCTTTTTGTGGTTGTTTATTCAGCCCTAGTAGGGAACATAAAGGGGACAAGAATGGGGAATATCTTGGTTGATGTTGTGTTGGGATAATGAGGGATATTTGGCCTGGGATTTATAGAAAAGGATAGAAGGTTTTATTTGTTTATTAAAAGGTTTAAAAGAAAGAAAATAACAACAAACAAAGGTTGTGGTTTACACACTCTTATTTTCGGCCAGGGCCTAAAATAGGAGTAGGAAAACTTTATTTTGAAAAGGAAATATTTTGGATGTTTAGGGAAGGTATGGAGAGTGTGGGCTCAGCCTAGGGTGGGTGTAGGACAACCATGGTGTTGGGTTGGGTTCTAAGACAGGAAAATGGAGAAGTTTCAACCCAATTAATGTCACCACACTTGGGCTTTATTCCCCTGATCTGTCTTTCCCTTGGCGGGCTACGGAGAGTCTTCGGGCATGCTCCCGGATATATATCATCCTCCCCTTCTTCGAAAGAGTTTGCCCTCAAACTCGGCTTTTCTTCACGCTCATCTTCGGGGTTTGGATATGGTAATCTATCTTTATCTCTTGAACACCTTGAGGACGTGTTCTCTCTCACACCTGTGCCTTTTTGAATGACCTGCAAATTAAGCAAAAAAGTGTTGGCATTAAAAGCCGTTAGTGTTGGTTTGCCTCCGAGGTTTTCCGTTCCAAAGAAGGGGTCGGATAGGGAATCTTCAAAAAGGCTCAACAGCTGATTTTGCTCAAGCAAAGGGTCATATTGTAACTCTTTAGATTCGCGGTAGGCAAACATGGCAAGTACAGATGGGGGCGGTGTTTCGGGCAGCTTGTTGGATGGTATTATTGGGGAAAGAGTGATTCTCCCAGTATTCAAAAAAAATGAATATGAGTTGGCTAAACCATCGTAGGTAACTCTCCGATCATATAACCAGGGCCTCCCGAGGAGAATATGACAAGCTCTCATGGGTATCACATCACACCATACTTCCTCATGAAAGGACTGACCCATGCTAAAGGAAACCAAGCTACGTGTATTCACATGTATCCCTTCGTTAAGATTCAACCATTGAATCTCGTAAGGCTTCGGATGTGGCATCTCCTTTAAATTGAGCTTTTCAATCGCTGTTTTGGAAACAACGTTGGCACTACTCCCGCTATCAATGATCATTGAACACACCTTCTTTTGAACGGTGCAACGAGGACGAAAAATACTCTCTCGGTGTGTGGTATCGTCCTGGGCAGCCGCATGACTAATGGTCTTTTGAATGACCAAAAGTTCACCTTCATCGGGACCAACAACTTCTTCTTCTTCGTTCGGCTCTCCTTGAATCCAAAATGGATTCAATTCTTCTTCTTCACATTCAACAATAGCCATGATCTTCTTGTTTGGACAGTCACTAGCAAAGTGACCAGCGCCTTGGCAACGAAAACACTTTGGGACTCGGCTACTTGAGGAACTTGGTTTTGAAAGAGGAGAAGCATTGGGTGAGGAAATAGGGTGCACAGTTTTAGGATTTTGAGGGGAGGGAT